GTGTGTGTGAGGTCTCTGCTCGGAGGATTTAGGATTTGTTTGCTTTCCTCCGGCAGCAAAGACTCAAACACGCTGAAGTTGGTTTGTTTAAATGTTGACGTCCGCGAGGGTTGAATGTGCAGCCAGTTATTAGTTATTGTTCAATAAAACCAAACAAAACTGTGAAAATTAAAAATTACTTATAAAACCAACTTAACTGAACTAAAAAATGTCTTTAAATTTAGTCTTTGTCAACACAATATATCAAATAAGCCCCATGTTGTGATTAAAAAACATTTTTAATAAATTAATAAAAAACTCAATTTAAATATGAAATAAGATAAAAAGTAATGAGAAATACACCTATCAATCTACAGTACTACAGTATAATGGAGCACATTTTCATGTATTCATCTATGACTAGACTTTATAAGTTCATTAGACTTTTGACTCAGACTGCTTTGAGTGCAGAATATCAACTGAACATCAATGACCTGAAACTGATGAAAAAACAAACAAACAAAATGTCTGCAGAGTGACAGATTTTACAGCTTTGTCTCTTTAATCTTTTTCTACAAAAGAAAATAATCACAATATCGAATAAATATGAAAAATAATAGAATCTATATTAACTAAGGACCATGTATAATATATAATTATTATGAATGACTTTAAATAAAGTGTCTATCTCGTCCCTCAGCAGGTGAAGGTCCAGTGATGTCAGGATGCCCCGAGTCCCAGCAGACCCGCCCTCTTCAGGAAGTGACGGAGAGGAAGTGATGGATGTGGAGCTGATTCTGGATCTGACTGAGTCTCTGCCGGAGGAGGATGAAGAGGATGAAGAGGAGGAGACGCAGCAAGGGGACGGCAGCTGGAGCCAGGATGAAGACCTGCAGGGATGTGGACAGTGAGTGGACGGATCATCATGAGATCTTGATGTTGGACTGGTGGAGATTTAAAAAAAACATATATATATATATATATATATATATATTTTAAATATTAACTGTATTTATTCATTTTTAATAATTTTCATAATATTCACAATGTAGTTTAAGTTAGCTTCTAATAAACTATTTAAATTATTATAATATTTTTTTTAAAGCGGAAATTCAGGTCTGGTTCAGGCTCGGGCCCCAAACTGATGCTGATAGGTCGGTGCTCATTTTAAAAATATATATATTTAACAATTTATTAATAAAGCATATGACTGTATCTGTTATTTATTCATTTTTATAATAGTTTTCCCTATATACTAATATAATATTCACAATGTAGCTTGTTTTTTTAAGCAGAAAACTGCTGTAATTCGGGCTCGGACAGTATGAGATAATAATGCATACAAGCTTGAAAAAAAAAACGTTTAAATTATTATTAAACATTTTTTCTAAATGGAAATTTGGGTTCAGGTTTGCCTCAAAACCGCTGCCATGGTTCGGGCTCGGGTCTGTTCGTGCCTGAATATCCCAGTGTCCCCCCAATGGGACCTAATTTTGGTAAAAAGCTGTTTGACTTTGTCTGACTGTCTATCTTTCCAGACTGGAGAGGAGGTGGGTCCTCTGGCACGAGTTTATGAAAGAACACGCCCACCTGGACGCCTGGCTGCGACTGGCTGAGCAGACTGTCAGTTCCCCTAACCCCGCCCACGTCACCTACGTCACTGCGAAGGAGGAACTGAGGAGGTTTGAGGTGAGGAAACTGAGAGATTACTGGTCCCAAGGATGAATTTAAATAAGCAATTAGCCAAAAAATAAGCCAAAAAATGTTACAAAAACTCCCTAGCTGCTTGTTTTTACAGGAAATAAAGGAAGCAAACTTTAATTCCTATTTAATCATTCATTGAAACCTTGTGTATCATTTTAAATATTAAAGTGTGTTCATATATTTTCTTTGTGGCGGCGCCGTCAGAGAAAGACCAACCGGGGTTAGAGGGCTAAAGTTCAGCGACGGGTTAAAGACATAATCCAGGCAGAGCGTAAATATCTGTCAGCTGGTCGTAAAGCCGCAGCACTGATGTGTAAATCCAGTCGTTTTAAATCAGAAAGTTTGAGCGGGAGCGTCCGTCCCTGACCGACTGAACAGCTGTAGATTCTCCTTGTTTGTCCAAATGAAATTCTGCTGTCAGCTCGGTCACTGCTGGGAAATCTGATCCACACCAATCTTCCTCTGCAGCTCCAGCACACACAGGAGGATTTTATTCCAGTATCAGTCACTGTTGGTTGGTGCAGCCGAGGAACGAGCCCGAAAATCTGCAAAATTAAACAAATATAAAGAACACCTGGTATTAAAATCCCTTTTTTTAAAAGCATGTGCATGAGGCGTTTGAGGTTGTGGTAAATCAGCCCCAGACTGCTTTTAAAAAATCACATTTTTGTGAGTTTTTCTGTCAGAGGACACTTTATAAACATTATGTAACTCTTTCTACAACATATTCTTAATTATACGTCCCCTCTGGTGAATTCGGCAGATGTAATGAGTTATTCCTTTATTTATATAAAAAAATATTCTGCTATATGTCCATTTGTCCCGGTGTAGGCGACTCTGTGTATAAAGGAGTTGCACACATTAGTTATTATTACTGGTATTAAATTGCAATCTGTATGGACTCTGACTGAATAATAAAAGGTCTGATCTTGCCTTTGCATTTACATCTGGTACATTTCATGTTCTTATTATCCTAATCCTCATATAGTGTCAAATTAGCCCCAAATTACCTTTAAAAAATCACATATTTTTGTGAGTTTTTGTGTCAGAAGAAACTTAATAAACGACAAATTCTTAATTATTTGTCTCCACTTGTAAATTCGGTGAATGTAAAACATTAATTTATCTTTTTATTTGTATAAAAATGCATCAGTTTGTCCTGGGATCTCAGTTTTTGATGTTTAAGTAGAAGCTCCAGGTGAGTAGAGTGAGACTGTAACTGCACAGATAAGTCGATTAATTGATTAGTTGGTTGACAGAAGAGGAATATTGATAATTGTTTGTTTTAGTCATTTTTTGGGTAGAAATCCACATTTCTAGGATTAAATGCATTTCTTTGTCAAATATGATCATACATTTTTCACTATTTTCTTGCTCAAAAAACAGGATTAATTGATTAATCTGTAGATTAATTGATTAATCGAATATAATTGTTAGTTAAAGCCCAAGTGTTAACAAACTCTCTGCACATATTTTGTATTGTATTGTACATGTTTTATCAGAGTATCAGGACTCAACAGAAGAAATATATATTTTTAAAGTTACTAATTTCCTAACAGGATTTATGGGTAATGAAGTCCTCTTGCTCTTGTTGTTTTCAGCGGCTGCGGTGCGAGGCGGGAGGTTGCCTCGTCCAGTTGGACGATCTGACTCGGAGGAATCGAACGCTGACTCGGCTGTTTCAGGGCGCCATGCAGGCTCGGCTGCTGGCGTCGGCGAGGGAGTGCGGGCGGCGGTGGGACGACGTGAACGCCAAACTGGAATCCATCACCGGAAGACTGAAGGTCAGAATTCCTCCTAATAAAAGTTTCAGTGTATTTTTTGCCTTTTTCATGTATTTTTAGTGTTTTTATTGTATTTCTTGTGTAATTTATGTGATTTTAACGTGTTTTTTCATGTTTTTTACTTTAGCTTTTTGTGTATTGGTTCTCATTTTTAGTGTGTTTCGATGTATCTTTTGTGTATTTCTCATGTGTTTATTTGCCTTTTTTATTTGTTTTTTGTGTTGTATTGTTTTTGTAATTTGTGTATTTTTTAGTCAAAATAAATCAAGTCAGAAGTCGGCTCATTTCCCCGTAAGATTCGATACTATCAGACCTCTCTCTGCAACCAGTGGGGTCGCCCCCTGCCGGCCGTTAGAAAGAATGCAGGTGTTTACCGACAGTCTGTTTCTCTCTCAGCTCTTCGTGTCGGAGTGGCGGGAGTTTGAGGCGGAGAGGGAGGAGCTCGATATCTGGTTGGCCGACCTGGACGTCCGTCTGTCCGACGTCAATCACCTGACAGGAAACACCTGCGAGAAGCTGAGACGCCTCCAGGTGTGTGTGTGTGTGGTGGTGTGTGTGTGTGTGACAGTGATATATTCACCCTGTTTGTGTGTTTTCAGTCCTTCCAGCAGTGTGTGTGCGTGAACTCGGGCCGTGTGAACGCCCTCCTGCAGCGTGGCGAGGCGTTGATCCAGCGCAGCCAACCGATGGACGCTCAGCACTTAGAGCGCCGCCTGCTGGAGCTGCTGCGCCACTGCAGCCTTGTCTACAACAACATCGCACGGACACACACCCGACTGCTAAGCATGAGACTGGTACACAACGGTTATTTATTTATACAAATAAAAACACAGCAGATTAGCGCGTAAAACCCGTATTTCCTTTGGACCAGTTGTGCAATTATAAATTTATATTTTATGATCCTCCTCCTCTCCCCTTCCTCCCCTTTCTCCCCGTAACCCTTCTTCTCTTCCTCCTCGTTGCTCCTCCTTTTGTCCACGCGTCTTCTTCATCTTCTCTCTCGTCCTCCTTGTCCTCCTTATCCTCCTTGTCCTCCTCCTCGTCGTCCTCCTCCTCACCCTCCTTGTCCTCCTCCTCTTCCTTTTCCTCGTCCTCTTCCTCCTCTTCCTCGTCCTCTTCCTCCTCTTCCTCTTCCTCCTTGTCCTCCTCTTCCTCATCCTCTTCTTCCTCATCCTACTCCTCTTCCTCTTCCTCCTCCTCCTCCTTCTCCTCCTCCAGGTGTTTGAGGAGGACTGGATTCTGGGTACAGACTCTGGTTGCCCCTCAGAGAGTCTGTTAGAGGAAGAGGGAGCTAAAGGTATTGATTACAGATATTAGATCAATAATAAAGAATACAATCAATAAACAATCAAACTGTTCCTCCATCTCCTCCTCAGAGCCACCCTCACCCGCTCACCTCCCTCCTCCTCCTCCCTCTCCGTCCTCGCCTACCCATGAGCACCTGGGGCTGGAGTGGGACCCCTCTGTCGATATCGGGCGCTCTGTCTCCCGTGACGACGCCGACTCGTCGTATTTCAGCGCCAACGCCGGTAGAAAGTGAACATTTTTAAAATGGTTTCAATTACAATGAATATAAGTTGTTTTATTGAGTGTGTGTGTGTGTGTGTGTGTGTGTGTAGGTCTGTGTCTGAAGAGGCGGAGCTACCTCAGCTCCCTCGGCTCTCAGTCGAACATCAGCAACGACAATCAGGAAGCAGATTTGGTGAGTTTACAACAAACATGTTCTTCTTTTTCTTCTTCGTCCTGGTGAAAATTAACATCAACATTTGGGGAAGAAGACGAGGAGAAAGATTTTATTTTTGGGCTGGGATGTAAACATTAATGCATCTTGGCCAAAATTCTAATTAATTAAGACTAAATTCTCTCTAAGGTGTCTCATTATTAGAGCTTAATGGACAAAGCAGAGTTCATTATCATCTATATTGGAACACAGTACAATATGGTTTTATAGGAAGCACCACGAAACCCCGTACTGATACAATGGATGATGGATAACGTTAACAGTTACTGACTGATTAACTCCTCTGATACTTTGGTCCCGCTGCCTTCCAGCGTCTCTTTCTGACGTTATTTATTTTGACAGATTAGTGAAGAGGAGCTGAAATGACGCCACGTCGATGCCTAAATGTGAACCAAACCGTCTAATTTCAGTGCACACGCTCTGTTTTCCTGTTGTTCTGCTCTGACCCAGATGCTTCATGGCCCAGAGGCTCTGTCTGTCTGTCTGTCTGTCCCACACACTCATGTTTCGATACACCAGCTATCTGAAAATGTCGCTGGTTGTCTTCTACTGATTTATTCATGACGCCTGCAGACGCCTCCGTACGTCTTCGGGTTTTTTTTTTAGCTTTTTATTTTGGCAAGGGGAGGAAGTGGGGGAGTGTGTGTCAGTGGAGAGAGAAACTGAAATAAAGAGGTGAAAAAAAACAAGACTGGCGTTGATTTAATTTCGGGGGTAAATAGTGTCGTCCTCTGCTGCAGCTCCCTCCTCCTCCTCTTCCTCCTCCTCCTCCTCCTCCTCCTCTTCCTCTCTGCACTGTCGGTGAACCCTGAAGCTCAACAGGACAAGACAAACAGAGACAAAGACGTAAAACTGAATTAGCATCTGATTGCAGCTGCAGCAAACACATCAAAGTGTTGTTTTTTTATTCTTTTATCTTATTTATTATCCGACTCGTAAAGGCGTGATGTCAGCACGTCATCCTCCCCCGCAGGGTTCGCCGCCGCCTGCCCGTAGGACTCCATGTGGTTGTACTTCATTAAATCTGCCGTGTGACCTCGTCTCCGGTTGTTTGTACGCCGTGTGAATTCTGAACTCAAAAGATGTGCCTGCAGAGGTTTATGTGCCGCCGCCGCCACCTCTCACCTGAAACCTGTCAATTTCAGGCATCGCCACTTTGACTTCGAGCCCAACTGCCTTTATCATGTTTTAGCTTATTAACTACATCTGTACAATATTTACATCAGTAGTTCCCAACCTGATTCCTTAAGGGACCTATTTTCTGTAGTAGTAGTAATGTGACTATATTTTATTATTATATTATATTATTTTCAGCAACAAGAACAACAGTACAGAACACCTGAGGAGAGTTTGTGTAAAATAGCGATTTTAAGTCATTCAGAGATGAGATTTCCTGATATTTTTACATTATTTTCTGTCTGTATTATGTTTTTTTTTAAATCTAATTCTATTTTAATAGAATTCTAATTCTATTCTAACTTCTATTTCTAATAATAAAGGTTATACATTTAAATAAAAATATATTTAAATAAAAATCAAACCTTCAAAATAACACTTAAGTATTATTAAACTTTGCCTCCCTGGAATGAATAAAGTGCTGAGATACTGTGTATATATTTTTTAAGTTTTCTTACACCCCTTAAAATCAAGAAGACCTCACAACCCCCTGTGAAGCTTTGGCGACCCCTAGTGGGGGTCCCGACCCTCAGGTTGGGAACCACGGATAAACATCACTGTGTAGTTTTTAACAGACAATCTACTTTATGAAGGACGTGATTTAATGATTTAATTTCATGATTCACTTCCGGTTTATTATCAGGTTTCTGTGCAGCGATTGGACGGATGGTTTGACCACGCCCACACCAGTGTCTTCTCGCCAGTGGCGACTCAGAGCGGCGGGACCCGGGTGAGCGGAGACCAGTGGGCGACCTCGACGCCTGACAGACAGGACAGCGAGCCGGTCGGCTTTGACGGCGGGCGTGTGAGGGCGTGGCTTGGCGATCAGAGCCCCACCCCTCCAGAGAGGAGGACTTCCTGTTCCAAAGCGGTGCAGACGGATGGCGAGGTGAAGGTGGGTCACCTTCAGTCACTTAAACTGTCCCACTGTTTGTTTGATAAAAACTACAATGAGCAGCTGAACCTTTTTTAAAACATAAAAACTTTGTATTTCCAGTAGGAACCAATAAGCTCTGAGCCACAAACAGGAAGTCAGACAGCATTAAGGGACGGACTAACGTGGTTGATTTGGGTCTTTACTATAGAAGAACACCAGCTTTATCGTCTCATACGGCTTCTTTTTTGTTTTCCTGCAGAGTTCAGCATTAACATCCAGCACATGGTATCACATGAATATCATCTGTGTGTGTGAAAACTCCTGATCTGACTCCGGAGACATTCTCACGTACTCGCTCACTCGCTCTCTCACAGAGTAAATTTCTGACCTTGTGGAGACCAACTTTGTCATGGAAGTACATGGATGACAAAATAATTGAATGAGTGCAAAACAGATTTGCGAGCTACACTGAAAATGTGTCTGAAAGTCAAAGATTGAGAGCGTTCAGGTGCAGGTTTATGAGTTTAAAGGGTGAAATCAATATATTTATATATCACACATACGAGGAATTTATCTTGCAATGGTGCTTAAAATATACAATCACACAAAAATATATAAATCACACAAAAATATACTGAATTAACACACAAAACAAGAAAAAACAAAGCACACCAACACACTGAGGTGACCGTCTGTGGCGCCATCTTAGGTTCTGACTAGCTACTTGTTTTACTAGCAAGTTTTAAAAGGACACGAAAATGGAAACCTCCTCCTGGTTGTCCTAACCTCCCCCTGTAGCAGGGAACACCAACAGACTCCCCCGGTGCTCCGAGATCCCAATCGGGAGTCAGGAGTGCTAGTTGCACGGCTAACTGAGCTAACTAGCTAACAGCAGCAGTTACTTTAGCAACAAATAAAGCTGT